TCACTTTAAGCAAAAACTGTGCTCCTTTTTACATTTTTATTTAAAATGCAACGGAGTGCGAGTAGTGCCCTTTCGTATGCTAAATAAAATAAAATAAAATAAAACAAAATAAAATAATATAATAAAAACAAGAATAAAAACGCAAAATTCAGAAAACAAAATTCTTCTGAACAAAGCCTTTTAATTGTATTAGTACCTAAGAGAGAAAAAAATGTATAGTCATTGGGGCATTTTCTGACCCTCATAGAAATAAGGACATACAAAATATGAACCACAAATTTTCGGAACTCATATAAAATTTAATTAAAGCCAACCAAAATGCCTGAAGGGAAAACATTTGATACTTATTTTTATTATTTTTTTCAATCTATAAGAATTGTATATATTATACCAAAGAATTAGATAAATTCTTCTGGCGCAGAGAAAGTGAGGCTATATTCGCTTCAAGGTGGAAGTTAATTTTCAGCAATTTCTTGTCTTCTCAACAATTTGCAATACTTTTTACTTCGTTAATCAAAGGCTCTTTGACAATTCATTTATGTTGATTATCACAACAACGACGACATTATCAGTAGCAGCAAGCATAACAGCAGCAACAACAGCAGCAACAACAGCAGCAACAACAGCAGCAACAGCAGTGACAACAGCAGTGGCAGCAACAGCATTTAATTGCATTTATGTACTCTTATTACTACAAACACATAGACTACATATAATTATAGTTTAGTTAAGTAAAGTTTTATCCTTTACTGCGATTTTAATTGCAGCTTCTCTCCAAAGTGAACTTGTGCAGATGGCGTTCACCAGCGCACGTTGCCATGCCTTTGGAAGCTGTTGGAGGCATTGAAGGATAAATGAACACAACTGCTGCATTAGCAATGTAAAAATGCTAAGTTGGGCAAACTATTGAAGCGTGATTATTCAATCAAATTTCGTTTAAGTCCTCGTACTTCCTTTGTTTCTCTCCTTTTGTTGCTTAAGTTTTATGCGGAAAATAATATGAAATTGGAATTCTGTATTCATTTAGTAGCCCTAAGTGAAATACTTTTATAGGGTTTTCAGTTAAATGTATGCCAATGAGCGTTGCAAACGATGGAAGTAATTTAAATCATGTGATATGCAAATTTATTCATGGAAAAAAATTTTCTTAAATATTTCTTGCATTTATAATTAAAAAGTTTTATTTTAAAAATTATTAAAAAAAATTATCACGCCTTATGAGCTCATTTAAATAATTTCTGATAATATAATCAAAAGTCTAACTACGTATTTTAAGAAAAAAAAAAACATAACCTATGCTATGTTGTGATTCATAGCAAACTATCGTTTGGATTATAAAACATAAAACCCTCATAGTTTTATTTTTCTATTTTTCAATTTTCACTTCCTTACATAGATTAGAAAGTATTATAAAATTTTTAACTCTTTCTTTTTAATTTTTGTTGAACTAATTAAATTTGTAAGTAGCTTTTGACCTTAATGTAGTAATGGAATTGGCTGAATTCAACTGAGTACAAGTGTTTCTTTTGAGTATAAGTACTGAAACTTCAAACAGTAATCAAGCACTTAATTATTCCATTATTTAAACTTGGTACTTGTGTATTTTAATTACATTAGTCTGGCACTAATTTCATTTACCAGTTTTGCACCACCATTGCTACCAGCAAATAATTTAAATATTTGAGTAACACTAGATAAATTAACTAGAAAATACATTTTTTAAGTGTCGATTAATCCGTTGACTTAGGCTTTTTGCTGCTTTAATTTTATTCCTCAACACATGAACAATTTTCCTTAGTTTATTAGTTGTAAATAATTGACAATAAACAATAGTGTTTACTCCTTCTGTACTTGAATGATAATATTAAAAGACAAATCCCTGTGCTCTACTAAAAACATATTACACAATAATACTTTAGACTCCATTATAGTAATTAAAAAGTTGTACGATCCAAACATGGTACCACTTGAATTAATAACAATGTATTTAAATAGCCACAGTTGGTGTTTATGGAGCCATTAAAAAAATAAAATAAATAACTTGAAGAGGCTACTGAAAACAACTAAAAACAACTAATGTACATAATTAATGTAATTATTAAGTAGGATTAAATTATGTTAAGTGTAATAGGTTTATAAGAAACCCGAAGTAAAATAAAAAAAAATTTTTTTATAATCTTTTGAGAATGTTTTGATGTAGTTCTCTGTTTACTGGGAAACCCAAATCAACTGCAACTTTTTGAACACTTTATTTTCTTGATTAAAATCAAATTTATAAAATTATAAAAAATTATAAAATTATAAAAAAAAATTATAAAAAAAAAATAGCATAAGGTTTTAAATAAATATTGAATTGGTTCTAAATTATTTGTTTTTCTATGGGTCTGAGTCACAAAAATGAGCTCTATATTGCTGATATAATAATCTGAGCAAACCAGTCATTCATATCGAAAAGTATTTTTGAATACGTCAGCAATCGTATTCTTAGTGTTGATCTTGGTCTGCTCTTGATTGAATCTGAGCAAACCAGTCATTCATACCGAGTATGAATAACTGAGTATATCATCAATCATATTTTTTAGTGTTGAACTTGGTTTGCAAAGTGCCCCATACCCCATGATGAGTGATTTTTCATCTAGAGACTGTGGACGACTGTTGATATGAATTAAGAGGTTGCTATGGCTCTTATCGTTTGACATATTATTCATAAGTTGAACGAATCTGAATCTTAGAAAATTTCAACCATTAACATGGAAGAGGGTCTTTAAGTACATCAACCTTGATATGTTTTAGTGTTGATCTTGGTCTGCAAAATGTCCCACACTGATATGACATGATGAGTGAGCTTGTATATAGCCGTGTAGCTAAGACCCATTCAAGTTAAAATCATAGCCTGTTGTATTATTGCTTATGAGATTGTGGACGGCTCTTGAAATGAATTAAGAGTGTACTATTGTTCTAGTCGTTTGTCAAATGAGTGATATATTAAACGAATTTGAATCTTAGAAAATTAAATTCATTCATATGAAAAAGTTTTTTGAGATACTTAAGAAATAATATTTTACTACTGACTTATTTACCATTCGATGATGAACTACTATTGAAACGAAGTCTTGTTTTTTAGTTACTGTTGAATTCCAATACTTTGTGTCACTGTGTAGAATCTTTATAGCATAAAAATATATGATTCTCTACATTTTCAGAGCACACTTTCAAACTTTATCTCTGTAAATAGCTTTTTTTGACCATAAAGTCACGGTACAAAAACAACAAGTGAAATAGACTAATAAACTTCCCGGTTCTTAAACTATTGCAAATGATGGTGCTTTTTTAATCTTCGTATCGTATAACCTTTGTTGGAAGTAAGCTCGAACATTTTGTTTGTTTACGAATTACTCAATTCGAACATTTTTTCTAATCATAGAAAACGATGTTCTGCAATTATTCATGTTCGTGGAAGTATAGGAGTTGCCTTTTTTAGGCATAGTTATTTTTTGCATATTGCTGTCCTGTCATTTTTGGATTTTGTCTATTTTCGAGTCAATATTTAATGCTTAACTCGTTTTGAATTGAGTCATTTCATTTCATTACACGGGCTCCATTTATTTATAGCTTTCTATATCACATTTCCTATAGTTAATTCTTTTTTCCTGCAGTTTAATTCTAGTGCTTCGCTCAATAGTGTCAATTTCTCTATATTTTCTTTCATTAATTTTCTCAATAAAGTCAGTTTCCGAATACTGTGTTGTGGTGCGAAATAAGAAAAATTTGGTCCCACTAAGTATTTCCTGGACTTAGATGTCTTTCAGAAGCCTCATTCAAGACTTTTCTCTTAATTACAATGCTATTGCTTATGAATGCTGAAGTTATGTTGCCGATAATAATTTTTCCGAAGAACTTAAACTCAAATGCTTCTTAATAAAAATCAATAGAATATATTGTTCTTAAAGGAATATAGATTCAGTGTTGCTATCAGTTCTGAGAGTAGGACAATTCTGAGAGTTCTGAGAGTGGTTACAGTTCAATTGGGTCATAGTGTAAGCACTTCTTATTTAATTTTGTAAAAATAAATTGATATTAACACTTAAAAAAAGTGTGCGATGAAATCTGATACAGTATTTTTACAAAATCCAAATGGTTCCAAAAATAGACAAATTATACTTAGTTTCATCAATTTCAAGTATAGTAATATAGTCTCAAATGGTTTTCTTGTAAGTATCTCACAAATCTAATTTATTTTTTATTTCAGATGACATATACCCACGCAAATTTTAACAATATTAAATAAAGCCTATAAAAAACAAGAAGGAAGCCAATTACACAAATGTCGAAATGGTCAATAAACAAAGAATGGCTTAACAACTTAAAAATCTAACAAAAAAAAAATTGTAAATAAAAATTGTTTGAAAATGTGAGGAAAAATTAAGTAAAAATGGGAAAGACGACCAAATAGCGAATGTAAACATATCATTCTTGACATATTGATGACAATATCCAAAATTAAATCTGAAGGCAATTTTTATTAATTGAGTTTGAAAAGTCCTGCTGTTTCCTATTTGAGCACCACCGCCCGAATAGATAAATCGAGGGTGGGAAAATAAACAAAAACAAATCAAAACAGTGGCACAAAAAATGTGCCACTTAATGAACCATAAAGTTCGATATCTATAGGCGACCATTAGCAGTGTAATAAAAACCAACAGGCGAAGGAAGTAACCAACCAATGAAGCAAGCGGTTCGTGGTTTCACACAAGAAGGCAATTACTTTCAATGTCAACCACCGTTGACAATTTAAGCAGCACTCAATACCACAAAATAACACTCGAAACCACTGTGTTCTGGCGCATAAAAGTGGGAGCAAATTTTTTTTCCAATTAATTTATCGTTTAGTGTGCCATCCAAATAGATACATTTTAACCACATGTATAGGCACTTACATACATACATACACTTACATACATACATACATAGCTATACATAAACGTGTAGGAGAAGCGTGGCATACATAGTTAAGCAAGGACACCGAACAAGAAGACCAGATGAGAATGCTGCCGACAACAATGAACCGTTGCCGAAATTGGTTCTGTGCGCGCAATAATAATAACGACTATGCTGAGGTTTCAATTAATGACGCAACTGCTTCCACACATCATGCTGTTGCAACACCAGATTTCATTAAAGATCACCAACCATCTACAGCGACTACCGCAACAACGGCTACTACAGCCACTACTGGTACGGGAGCTGGAACAGGCATTATTGGCGGTGGCGGTAATGCACATGTCGTCACTTTTCTCGATGATGTGCCGAGCGGCAATAACGGCATAGTTAGCACAACAAGTCGCATAATAACCAATTCGGAATTAAACGCTCAAGCAATGGATAACAATTCGGATGCTATTGAGCCGATGGACGATTTTGCATGTACTTCCGGTTCATTGCTGTGTGATGAAAATGCGCCATCATCGAAAAATTGCTATCGTCTGGTAATGTTAGGGTAAGTATACAAATACGATAAACTAAATTCCAATTAAGAATGATTTCAGTTCGAGCTTTATTAAATCATCTCATATTTGGCATCATCCTTTGTTGAAAATGTGCAGAGATACAGAAATAATTAAACGGATATAAGCAGCCTTTATCCCAGATTAGTTGAATACATTTCATTATTTTTCTGTTAAAGATTGTGGCTCGCAATTTGCTTCAATTCAATTGATTCCTTGTTGAATTCCTTTTTAATAATTTCAATTGATTCCACCCGTCATGTTGCTGTCATGTTACTCCCCCAGTATCATTAAAAAACAAAGGCAAGTAAAATTGATTATCCTTCATTGCATATTAAGCACAACCGTGGAATAAATCCACTTAAAGCACCACAACTCCAACTACGTGCGCGCTCGATGTGAGTGATTCCAAATTAATTAAGTAGATTATTTTAATTATTGAAAGCAAAGTATACACTGAAAAAATTGCTTAATGCTTTATAAATAAACAGAGTATTTGCAGGCTTTTTAAGCTTAATTCAGTAACCTTTTGTTAATTACATTTTAATATTATACTGTACACATATTGTTGATATTTTCATTTAAAAATTACTCTCAAATAAATGAAAAAGGTTAATACTTGGGCGTTTTCGATTCTGCCTTAAATGGCATGTATTATATGAGAATGGATTAGAGAGCAGTTATATTAAAGGTTATATTGTTATGGAGTAGTTTAACCTTTATTTGTTGGCATATATGTTAGTATGATATTTATATAAAACTTAAATTATAAATAAGTTTAAAATATAAATATGATTTTATAAGTCAACTTTAGTCTGTTGTCTATATTTTTGGAAATAAATAGTCTTATCCATAAGATTGCTATTATTTACCCATATTTAATAAATATTTTATTGATTTATAAATTATTATTATTAACAAAGTTATAACGTTATTGGAACTTACATCTAATTTAAATTATAGGACCTATAGCTACATGACCTTAAGCTTAACTTATATATTGTATAGACTGGTCTAATACCTTTCGCCTTCTTTCTGCCAGTAATATGATTCTTCGTTACAAAAATTTTTGGTTCTTGACTAACAAAAAACTGATCCGAGATTTTTTCTATTCGTTCGAAGCAGTCACAGTTACAGTTTATAAACTTTTATAGCAGAAGTAAATAATAAGTATACTATTCAAAGTAGTATCTGACATTATTTTGTTGGAACACTTTACCTGTTCTAACGATGAATTTTGTTTAAGAGAGTGATTAAATAATAAGTATATCACATCTAAAGTGGGATTTAACATTGTCTTGTTGAGACACTATACCTGTTCTATCAATTAATTTTGTTTAAGCGAATCATTTGCTTTGACCAGATAATGACTGTACGTTTAGGAATTGATCGTTATATAGTCCGATAGAAGCTCAAATAAACAGATAATTCTTTGCAAATCAAATAGATATTATCACCTTCCTTTGTTGAATACCGGGTTTTAAAGAGTTTTGAATCGGTTTATTTTTTTAGCTCCTTATGTAATTGCATTTAACATTGTTGTTGTCATCTATTTCTTGACCCCAGTAATAATGCTCGTTAAAAATGAATTATTTCTTTTTTAACATTTGACAGGTTAATCACAGCAGACTACAAATTTCTTTCTGTAAGAGTATTTTGAAGTCATTTTTTAAGCTTAAGATTAAGAATTTGAATGGTCGAATTTAATAGATTTGATCTCTCAGCAATCTCACAAGTTACTATCCATGTCGGTTCTCAATGAATGTCTCTTTTGTGTTTTGATTAGCTTCATCTGGCCTTCCACAATACAGTGCGATTTTAGCATCAGAACTACGGAATGGCAATTTTGCAAACCACTTTCGACATTGCCGTTGTCTCAATATATGCTCTCTTTAGAAATTTTATTATTATGTTGAAGCTAGTGGAGTCAGTGCACTTGAGGACTTTTACTCTCTATTAACTGCGAGGTTTCCTCATAATCCCTCTTTACACCTAGACTGGATTATTGTTTATCACTTCATCAGACTAAGCAATAATTGACCTCAGATCTGCATACCTCCCCGAAAAGCCTGTAACCATTCTGAGATTAAATAACGTGGTGTTGGTAAACCTGTCAGTTTTCGTAAATAATTTCGGGGCCCTATCCTTTATGTATTTCTTGATCAGATTAATTTTGAGGTCCCTTAGAATGTCATTCGTCCTAATGTACCATGGAACCTTGAAAAGTCTTCTCAGAGCATGGCTTTGTACAATTTCTAGCTGACAAATAGTAGTGTTTGAGGCTTTGCTAAATGCTAATCATGCATATAGAAGTGACTTTCGAACTATTTATCCAAAAATAGTTTGCTGAGAACAGCAAAAATCAAATTGGTTTAATTTAATGTCTTATAAAGAAGTAAAGTTCATTGTCACGTAATTCGTAAATCTTCAAAATTGTTGTAAAATTTTATATGAGTTTTTCTCAAAAGATAACTAAACAGATAAACTTAATTACATTCGTGAGACTTGCACGTGCCAAAGAGGCTCGCCTACTTTTAAGTTCCGCACAAGTATCTCATAGTGCAATATTTCAGTAATAGACGCAGACCCAAATTAACGCACACAAACGTGCAAATATCTCTGAAATACCATACATTCAACTTTATTGTTTAGCAGGAATTGTTTTATTATCACGAAATTAATTAATTTTCGAATCATTTATGGCATTAGGTTAAAAATAATAAAATTAATTATAATTTTCGCAGCTCCTCACGTGTCGGCAAATCCTCCATTGTGGCCAGATTTTTAGGCAATCGGTATGAAGAGGCATACACACCCACCATTGAGGATTTCCATCGAAAATTGTATCGCATACGTAATGAAGTGTATCAATTGGATATATTGGATACATCCGGTTATCATCCGTTTCCGGCTATGCGACGTTTATCATTTATGACTGGTAAGTAGAATAAAGCCTTGTAGTAGTTTATATTTTAATGGGTTTGGAAGAGTGAGTATTGTATATGTTTGGGTTTTCCTACAATGGAAACAAAACGTTTCGATATGAATATGTAATTGATTGTTGAGAAATATGGAGGAAAGTTTATTTTCGTTTATAAATTTATTATTAATTTTCAGTCTGTTTTTTACGTAAAATATCAATGCATTGGATGATATTTCACAACAAAGATTCTGTGGGCCACCTCATTATAAGACAGGTTATTCATTGGAACAATAACCTTAGATTGGAATTATTTAAATTAATACACAAATTAAGTATAAAATCTATTTAATTTGTGGGACTTTTGAAGAGGAGATTCGAGGAACTCTACTGCAAAGTTATTACGATTAATATTTTTGCAATGAAAGATGTCTGAAGCATCAATTGATGATTCGGTTAAAGCTAGGACTTCAGGTTTACTTGTAAATATTGCAATATTATTTAGTCTCATTGAATTTAAGCTATACTGTTTTCAAAGAAACTCAGCGCTGAGATATCTATTAGTCAATATTGGTCGATATATAATTATTTTCTCGCTTGCTTTGAACGTCTAAGCAAATTGATTGACATTTTATTGTTACTTACTTTTAAATGTTACATTATTCTGAGTATGTAGGTGAAATGGAGAAGGCAATATTAAATTTTATTTTAAATTGAGAAAAATATATGAAAGAATCATAAATAAGTGCGAGAACAAAACACATTTTCTGGTCATATATTTTCTGTTGGATTGACTAATTCCATTATAGTTATGAGGTACTTGAAAACGACAATTATGGCAGTTAACAAAAACCACTCACAACGAAAACAAAATATGGATAAAGTTAGAACAATTTTTTTAATCGACTATTTTATGTCTGCTAAATTCATCAAATATGAAAGTGGAATAGCGAAAAGTACAGCCTATCAAGTTCTGATCGAAGATTTGCTCAAATGAAGAATAGTTGCATGTTTTGTGCCTCCCACTTTGGCTTATAAATGTTTTCAGAGTTCTGCATTGCAAACTCATCGCAAAAATGTATAAACGAGTCCAACAAGGAACTGTAACCGGATATGAAACCTGACATTTTCAATACGTCCTAAAAACAAAACACAAAAATGTAGCATGTTAGTTACCAGAAGAGTGAAAAGATAAAAAGTAACGTTTCAAAATTATCTTATTTGGGAAGATTTTGATTTGTTCCTTGGATTCAATAAAATTTTTCGTTATAAATTTTATCTCAGATGGAAAGATGGCGTACGCCAAATATTAACTGGAAGTGCTATAGCTCTTGTGGATGAAAATTTGATGTGTTCGAGTGGAATATCGAGTACCAAGCAGTTGATTTTTGTGTTGCGTAGTAATGCTAAATTACAATAATTCATCGTGTTATATATCTGTAACACACTAGATATGTAAAATTTTGGTCAAAAAAAGGTATAATATTTGCTATCGATCAAGCACTTTAATGATATGAATATGATTTATGTGGTTATAACGGTTTATCCTCCAAAAGGAAACTGAACATTTTAGCACTATTCCGATAATTCAAATAGTCTTGACTGACATAAAAAAGATTTGACTCTGGGTGAACATTTGTAAAGTTGTGTTGATAATGCTGAGAAAAAAAGAATAAAAAAATTAAAGTTATAAACCGTTTATATGGTTTGAAATCTTATGTCATCAGCTTTAGGACTGATTTGGTCAGATTTGGTCTTTTCTTTATACTGATAAGACTGACTGTCATAGATTGAAATTATTTAAATTGATTATTATTATTGCTATGGAATGTGACACTGCGACCGTCGGGTCTCTAAGTCTTGTTGTGTCAATAAAAAGTAGTGTAGAGCCAACTTTACAGAGTTTAATTGCCTCTTCCGTAAAGGTATACATTCTCAGGAGTCTATTCCGTTTTAAGTTGAAATTAAATTTAAATTTATTGGTCTATTATGCCCCCTTCTGGGTACAGAGTAGGTCTCTAAGCCCTGTTGTGTCAATAAAAAGTAGTGTAGATCCAACTTTACAGAGTTTAATTGCCTCTTCCGTAAAGGTATACATTCTCAGGAGTCTATTCCGTTTTAAGTTCAAATTTAATTTAAAGTGATTGGTCTATTGTGCCCCTAGTGGGTATAGAGTCGGTCTCTAAGCCCTGTTGTGTGAAAAAAATGGTATAGAACCGACTTTACAGAGTTTAATTGCCTCTTCTGTAAGGATATACATTCCCAGGAGTCTATTCCGTTTCAAGTTGAAATTAAATTTAAATTTGTAGTATTTTTAACTTTTTCTAAATTTGTATGAAATCAATAAAAAATCCTCTTAAAAAACTATTGCAAAATAATATGTTTTAATATCTTTCTTTATAAAGAAGAGAAGAAAAATATTCTTATTTTTCATTATTCAAAACTCCAGTGAATAAAATTTTCCTGAACGCAAAAAACAAAGATTATATCAACTTTCATTTCTTTGTTCCAGTATCTCTTTCTCTCTCTCTCTCATTCGTTTGGCTTTGAGTCTATATTATATCAAGTGAAAAAGCAAAAACTTATATACAGAAATTAATAATAACACAGTCGCACAAAGAGGAAGGGAAAATACTAACAAAACGAAATCAAAACAAACTTAGTGTGATAATGATTGTAAAGGCACAATAGGAAGGAAACGCTGAACTCCTAAAACGGAAGTGGCAGCGGCTGTATTCAGTTGTTGCTATAAATGCTGAAGTGGAATCAGCACTTCCACATTTATTCCGCTTTGACATTTGGCCTCAGCTCCTCTTTGTTGTGAATGCAGGAGTGACAAAATCGTGCATTTGTCATCATTTAACAAATCTGCAATTTGGCTAATTTTATTTTTGGCATTGTGTTGTTGTGTTATTTTTGTCCTGAATTGTTTTTCTACCAATTTTTTCACTTTCACTTTCACTTTCCCTTTATTTATTTTATTTTGTTTATTTTTATATTTTTTTTTTCTGAAATACGTTTCTGTCATAAGCGGCACTTAAACGCACTCCAATATTTATTTGTTCTGTTTGACGCATAAACGCACATATACAGGGACCGACTTGCGTACGTGTGAAGTCGGCAATGTTGTTTCAGGAACGGATATGATGGCCATTTTGAAATTACATTTGTGTTCTGTCAAAATAAATTCAAAACATCAAAAATAAAGCTTTTGTTTCATGTAATATTGTTGTCAAGAATGTGTGAGATTGTGTGCGTGCATGTGTCTGAGAGTTGTTCAGAGGTGTTAGTGTGAGTGCGTGCCAATTTTTTTGATATGCTGTAATATGTGAATTAACATAATTAGAACTACGTGCACATTGACTAGTTTTTTCAAATACTTATTTGGTTTTCATACCATGCTCTTCCATCCATTTACTTAATTTAAAAAAAAAAATTAAAAAAAACGAAACAGCGTTATAAGAAAATAAATATTCACACTGCAATTTATTTATTTTTTTTTAAATATATATATAGTTTTTCGTTCTTCTTCTTCTTAGTTGGCCATTACAGACGTGAGTCGTCCTTGGCCGCGTCGAGTAGCCTCCGCCAGTCAGCCCGATTAGTTGCTTTCTGACGCCAGTTGGTAGTACCGAACGCCCCCAAATCGTTGGTCACCTGGTCCTTCCACCGAATATGCGGACGTCCTCTACCGCGTTTTCCACCTGGGGGTACCGAATCAAATACCTTTCAGCCGGAGCACTTTCTTCCATTCGCACGACATGACCAAGCCAGCGTAGCCGCTGAATTTTTATGCGCTTAACTATGTCAATGTCGCGGTATAGCTCATACAGCTGATCGTTCCATCTAATTCGATACTCGTCGCCAACGCTTAAGGGACCATAGATAGTTTTTCGTTACCCATCTATATACTTTATATACGTTTTAACAATATATAGATGCCCAACGCTATACAAAATTTGACCGTTCGATTGCCGTTCCATCGCCGTTCTATTTTAAGCAATGTGTCTTTAAAAATGGCGAGAGATGAGCACTTTTAGACAGACTAAACTCATGATGCCGAAACCGTTGATCAGGGAAGCGATAACAGCGCTTAGCTATACGCGGAGCACCCTAAGCTGGCTGACCTCATTGATTACTGGAAATAGAAACTTCAAGTATCATCTCAAAAAAATAACTCTTGTTGAGGAAGATACTTGTGCTTAGAAGAAAAGAAGACAGCGGTGCATATATTGTGCCAATGTCCGACACTGGTAAGCACGAGTATGACTATTTTGGGATACCATTGAGTTGGTGATAACTTGGCAGGCAACCACAAGCCAAATGAGCTGTTTACAATAATGAGAGATGTAATTATGCGAATGGAAGCCACTCTAGCTTTAAATCAATGACGACATCCGAGAATCGAAGGACGAAAGAGAATTCAAGTAGTTGCTGTGGTCTATTTCGGCTAATCCTTCACTTCAGTGGGGCCACATCCTGGACAGTGCGTTGACTAAACGTTCCACAATATATATATGTATACATATAAGCAATGTGTCGTCATTCTCATATTAATTTCAAAGCAATGGACATATACATTCAAGTAGAGAGAATGAACGCACAAAGTTCTTCCATATACATAACAAGATATGCAAAACAATAAGCAAATACGTATGTGCTCATTTCAAATAAATTATGTAGCAATTTATTAGTAAGATGAACTTTGACTGAGAATGGACGCGTTGGACATTTACTAGGTAGATTGTTAAATACCCGGTCTAAGTACTAAAAACGCATTTTTTTTTGGAAAAAAATATTTTATGCATCAATATAATCCTCTTTCAGCCCTACATATCGAATCCAATGATCTTTCAACATTTGGATACCTTTCAAATAATACGATTTATCAAGTCATCAAAAATATACCTCAGTTTCCCATTTTCCCATATATCAAAAATTATATATATATATATACATATATACATATATATTGAAAAAATTAAATTTTAATCGTGCAATAATGTACAATATGTAACACCATAATCACGAATTAAATCAAGTTCACGGAAAAGGACGATATTAGTCAATTCTTAAATGTCACTCATACGCACCGTAATACGAGTTTCGTTAAATCAATTTTCTACAAAAAGTGACACAAGAATTTTTACTTTGAAAATACAATTATTATTCGTTTTAATTGTTCATATTGATTTATTTAATATAACTAAAGATATGAAAGAATTCCATATATCGGATACTAGCATTATGGCTTCCTATTCGAACGACAATTTACTGTAGGAAAACTCAACAACGCTTACCCCTATATTCTTATTGTTGATGTTAGAAGTAATATAATAAGCAATAATATTTTATGTATATTATCTTAAAGTTACTTAGTTCCATCGGAATGTTTCCGTATCATTTCCATTTAACTTTTTAAATAAAGAGGATATGTGAAAAAGTCGATATGTTAATAAAAAATAAGTGCCATATATTATGGATGCAGGAAAAATTTAGTGTTTGCATTTATATGCCGACAGCGTACGCAATCAGTACATCAACGCGTATCTATCCTTCCTTTCCATATGAGAAAATCTGCATTATTTGAGAATCTATGCATAATTCCATAAAACTTCTTACAGAGTTCATTTTTATGTTCTCACATATTTCACTTCCACTTAAACGAATATGAAATTCCATCTTTTTACTTTCGTTGTTGTGTTTCCATGTTTTGATTTTCGATTTTTGACTATCAGATATTTTCGTAGGATTTTGTTTTAAACTGCGATACTCATTTTTAAAAATTAAATCTTGAATTTCTATTTCGTTCACGTCTTAATGCCAAAATTTGTACAAGCTGTGCGCCCCGAGTAACTTCATGAGTGGGTCCTGGTTCGAAACGTTGTCGATTCCACTTGCGCATTTATACAAGAAAAAATAAATAAATAAATAGTGAATTTCATACCAAATGGATTTATTTATTTTTGCCATCTAGTTCCTTTCATGAATTCTATAAATTATTTGATTTTTACTTTTACTCTGAGTAAATATTTATGAATATATGTACATGTATAAATATTTAGATGATAGATGAATTTGAGGAAATCAGTATATAATAAGATAAATAGAATTGGTTCATATTTTTGGTTATTATTTATAATTAACAAGTAAACAAGTATGTGTAGTTTGGTTAGTTTTTATAGGTTGGTTGCAGTGGCAGACCATTGGATAACTTCCATGTACCTCAATTAGCGATTTTTCGCAGTTATGCTACCACATTCCACGCAAGAATCCTAGTATAGAAGAATAGAGTCTTCATCCATCCCGCCGAATTAAGTTATTTTAATAGGTCTTTCGTCTTCACCGCTAAACAGTCTGATAAACTATCAAAGCAGTATCTTTCTAAGAACCTATATCATCTGGACGCCAAAGCAGGGCATTCACAGAAAAAATTTATTATTGTGAGTGATTACTTTTGCAGTGAGGATTTTGGGGAATGTGCAGTTTCTCAGCTTGGGTTACTATACAACAATGACCAGTAATGAACTACAGTAAGCATTGCAGTGTTTACGTGGTCTCTTTGATGAGTTTCGAGAATCTATTTTTATTGTAGATGGGTCAGTTTTTACAAACAGTACATTTTTTTTAATTTTACTTATATGTACACAGATTATGTTTTTCACTATCTATAAAATAGATTGTACCTTCTGATAAAAAAAGAACGAAAGGCCTATTTTTGGATTCCCGCGCTTATTCAATCGGTAAATAGTATTTTTTGTTTGTCTATACAAAAAGTAGAAAATTCAAGTAAAAAATTCAAAATTAAAGTTCTTTTTTGATCACAAGGTATATGTACCATAGCCCATATCCACCATTCAAACATCTTTAAGCCCATGTTATGCAGAAAGTCTTGGGTCGTCAAAATTAAAATTGATGTTGAGCACCTGACAATACTCGAAACAGTGTTGTATGGTTAGTCAAACTTCAATAAATTAACTAAAAATTTTTGTGGTTGTCTTTTCATTCCTATTCGAAACCTTCTAAAGTTTTTGTTGTTTTCAGTGAAAATTATAAAATGAAGAGTAAGAGAAAAAACAAAATATCAGCTTAAATTTGTTCATGAAAGACGAGGTTATCTGTGACTTATCTCTTAGTCAAAGCAGCATTGTTCAATAATAAATATCAACATTTGTGTCGTTTAATAGCAAATTATTATAATTATTACAATTTTTCTGACATTCTGCATAACATGTATTTTCATTATAACCTATAAGAACTAGTTTTAACAAGCTCATCTCTTTGCATAACGTTTTAGAAAACTTTGAACTTATTAGAACATTCTCAAGACAATGTTTTAATTGAATGACTCTTATTACTCGGATGGTATTCATTTGATTGATACATGAGCGTTAGATTCTTAGGCTGACTAGCAATTACCTTATATGTTGATTGAGAAGGTCAATTAAATTTCTGTTATTTGACAGCTTGATCTGTATTTCATTTCTCTCTTAGCGTAGAATATAGCACGTCCATTACTACAATTGCCAAGAACAAGGGTTTTAAGAACAATACTATCAATATTTATAGAATGGAATAGCCATTATTTACAATATTATAACTTATAGATATAGTTTTCAACTTTGATATTCCACCTAGCGTTTTATAGTAAGATAAATAATGTTGATGAAGGTAAAAGAATTACAAATAAATCAAAAAAAAACTAAAAAGTAAAAATGGTTTGCTAAGCATATTTCGAAATGTACACAGATGAATTAAATCTTCAAGACTTGCATTAAAAACCCATAATTTGTCCAAGATCGTGTTCTCGAAAATTTCCAATAAACGGCTGTCATTATAAGTATTTTACCATGACAAGTTCCAATGTCAGCTATTCATAATTAAATGCAGGTTACGAACAAAGCTTAGTATCATCATTGTTTTAATCATACAACCAGGAGGATCAGTTTAAAATAAAACATTTTTTTTAACAAAATGGCTTTACGAATTCTATTAATAAAATGATTATCTGGGTATTAGCCTATATAAAATAATCATATGTTAAAATACGTTTTTTATATTAATTTAAATTTTATCTCAATTTCAGGTGATCTTTTCATACTAGTCTTCAGTATGGACTCACGAGAATCATTTGAAGAAGTTGTACGTTTGCGTGAAAATATTTTAGAAACAAAATGGGCTGCCCTTAATCCAGGCTCGGGTTTGAAGAAGAAAAGTCTACCAAAGATACCAATGATTTTAGCTGGCAATAAATGCGATCGTGATATTAAGTAAGTACAAATAGAATATTTAAAATAATAGTTACATATATTTAATAAGTAAAATATTTTATAAATAATTTCTAAGAACCGTACACCTAGACGAGGTTATGGGCTATATAGCGGGACAAGACAATTGTTGTGTATTTGTCGAATGTTCAGCACGTCAAAATTTTCGTATCGATGATTTATTTTATGCACTTTTCATGGTATCGAATTTACCATTGGAAATGGCACCAAATCATCATAGACGTGTTATATCTGTTTTCGGTGCACCCTCTCCACTACCACCACATTCATCAGCTGGTGGATCTAAAAAAAATGCACTCTCTATTAAAAGACGTTTTAGCGATGCTTGTGGTGTTGTGACGCCAAATGCACGTAGGCCCAGTATACGCACAGATCTAAATTTGATGCGATCGAAGACAATGGCTATGAACGAAGGTGAAGGTGCGGGCGCTACGCGGCGTAAACTCTGTGTGATCATGTAAAACAAAATTAATATATAAAAAAATGTATTATCGAATAATTAATATATGTGGCGTATGTGTAGTAAATATAAGCAAAGGCGGCATGTGATAGTAGCAAAAATAACTTATTTAAAATTTTTATATTTCAAAACGTTTATTAAAATTGTTTATATGAAATATTTTTATAAATAAAATCAATATCAATAATTTACTTAATTTACGAAAACAAAAAATAGTTATTTTGTTGCGAGTAGTTACATTTTTTATACATATTTACAAACATAATCGTACATAATATATTATAAATATAAATAATAGATGTGTATATAACATAAAATTAAATTTACTTCATTATAGTTATTGAATAAAGAAAAAAATTTAAAAATACTTGAAATGAATGAAAATGCTTTGATGTGTTAATAAATTTTGTTATTTTCCAAATGGTTAAACAGAATTTTTTAACTTAAAGCATTAAATAAAAAAAAAGTAAGTTAAAAACATTTAGTATCAAAATATTTTATAATTGAAATCGATTGCATTTCAATGCATTTTTTATAAATTAAAAATAAAGTAAATGTGCATTTTACATATTTTGCAGAAACCAATGTTTTGTAAAGTTTTTTAAATTTTTTTAAATTTTTTTATACCTTAAAAAAATTCTAATCAGTTCGATATTAAAATTATGCATTTTCAACATGAAATTTTAATTTTTTTATTAAGTTTTTCATTTAATTTTAGTTAGTACACACATATCCAATACATATAATAAATATATATAAATTATCTGGGAACGGGTTTAGATTTTGTTAAAATCTGTTTTTATCCGTTTGGACTTTAAAATCTAATATTCTTTGCACGTCTTTTACAGTCGGGTTTCTCGAACACTGTTCCATTGTCCATTACCGGTGTCCAGTATTAATAAAATTTGATATAAAAATATTAAGACATTACAAATATTGTACTTTCTTTTTTAGTGGTATTAGTTTTTGGGAAAATATCAGAGCGAGATCTGAAAAAATATACTAAATAAAAATAATTTTAAAATACTTTGAATATTATTTCCGGTCTATAGAATTTCTTTGAGTTTAGAACAGAGAACTGCAATGAGTACTCAACATTTAAATCATGCTTAAAGCATTGGCTGTATTTCACTTATAAGCATTTTAATTCCCATTTTCATATATTCGACTCCACCTGGTTTATATACAGCTAACAGCACTTATAAAGAAAATCGTATGATACTCATAAATACCGATACTGTGACACTGATTCATTAGCACCGGAACTCGTTAAGGAAAACACTTCTGAATCATTTCTGTGGCGAATGTCAGTACATATAAGTAGTGTATGAGAAAAACATTTATACTCATATATACTTGGTTTTTATGAGTGCACTCTAAGTGTTAAAATTATGACTCGTTGGTATTCGCTGGTTCAGAAACATCTTATAGTACTAGAAGGTAACGTACTCTTCGATGAGTTCTTCATAAATGAATGACAATAGTCCGGTATTAACTTTACAAATGTTCCTCTCCAAAGATTTGAGAATTAGAGAGCTATTTAAATAAGCATGACAACCATGATCTAATGATGATAAGTCGCGTGATGGCCCATCACATCATCAAAGCATGAAAACAAATGTCGAGATAATTTCTCGTGCATATTGATATAAACACTTTATCACATTCATACAATCAATTTTACGAGAAAAAAAAATTGGTACTTATTTGATTGGAGTGAGTAGATTTTACAATTTGAAGTTATCAAAAAACAGAATCTATTTCTGTATATGCCACACAATACGGAGACGGTTTGTGGATGAAATGATATTCTCTAGTTCTGTGTGGGTTTTCATTCTTTGTTTAGTTATCCACTAGGGAAAAATTAATCTTGTTTTTGAACAGAATTGCTTCCTTGTAGTGAAATGTATCCGCTAAAGGGTCACGACTGTGAAGTAAGTTTCTACAATTTTAATGTACTCAAAAGGTATTAAACGATTAATATTATAAAATATTAAATCTTATTAAACTGAATCAACTAAGGTTAGGTTAGGTTAGGTTCGGAAGGCGCGTGCTGACCGTTTTCAGCACTTCCACTCGGAGGCATATATTGCCCATTGTAATGCCCCCAACAATTTTGGCGGAAGAGGCGAGTTGCTTTATAATTCTTGTTAAACCATTTGGTTTTCCAGATGAAGTTTGAGGAGATCCGTTAATTTTGTATTCGTTATCTCTTTCAAGTCAGTGAAAAAGCGATCCCCGAGATATTGAAGTCGCTTTGTCTGAAGTCCTAGACAGAGACAGAGGAAGTGGTTGATAGATTCTACCTCTACCTCCTCTTCATCTTGGCAACCCCTGCATAATCCGCTTGTTGGAATTCGCCACTGTTGGAGCATAGGTTGAATTAACTTTACGGCAGTTTTATTTTAAAAATGGCAATAAAACACTGCCTTCAATTCACGAGTATGAAATGGATAATTCTTTAATTATAATATATAATATGTTTTAATTCTTTCCAGTTCATTTATTTTCTTAATTCGTCAGGGAGTATAATGCTGGCTCAAGTTATTCGTAGCAATATATTATTTAGAAATTTAAAGAATACTTAACTATTTAAAAATCTGAATCAACATATCCCTTAAAAATTAAAAATTATTAGTTTGAATGTGTTGAGGATTCGTCGGTCACATATATGTATGTAGGTTTATCTTAAATTATCTTTAAATCTTAAATTATTAGCTTAAATTATTTTAGTTTGTTTATTTTTCGCACAGCCACGTTGGACGTCTGGTTCTTATCGCTGCTGCTCACACACTCACTACAAGCAAATTTGATTCTTCGCTCTGTTCTTTCTCTCTCTGACAAGCTCAGCGAGGGTTGCCCTGCGCTCCAAAACAAATAAAACCTTACGCTATGATTACTTATCCTACATTCTCGGCCAGCCTGACAGAAGTTCGCCCCGAACATTCCTATTTGCTTGAAGCTTCCCAGCGCTTCATATATTCGGCTACCGTAACGGTACTGCCGGGTCCCTCGTGGTCACCTAACTTTAAAACTTTATACCTTCCGTGGTTCAGAACCGCGGTAATCCTATAAGGTCCAAAAAACTTCGGTCTTAATTTCAATGCTACTCCATACTGAGTTCTTTTTATCGCGACTAAATCCCCAATTTTATACATAATTTCCTTCTTCCGTTTCGAATTGAAAGTCTTCCTATTCTCTTCCTGTATACGTTTAATATTTCCCTTAGCTTCCTCCCTTATTTCATCTCTTTCAGAGTCTAACTCTAGTATAAACTCTTCTTCTAAAAGTTTTCTCAAATCTTTATGATAGGACGGTTTCATTTCTAAACCTGTAAGAATACGAAACGGGGAGAATTTGGTGCTACGAGTCGGCGTGTTATTAATTAACTGTTGAACTCGATCAACATGTTTATACCATAGATCTGGCTTTTCTTGACATACCTTAGATAAAAGCGGTACAACTACTCTATGGACTCTCTCCACCTGACCATTTTTCCTAGGTACACCAGTCGCTATTAACAAGTGTTGAATGTCGTTCTCTTGACAATACTTCTTGAACATGTCGGCCGTAAATGCCGTGCCACGGTCAGTTATAATCCTTTCGGGATTACAGAAAACTGATGATTGCCTAATTTATATCGACAACTGTATCGGTACCTAAGCTCTTAGTTGGGTACAACCACACAAATTTGGAAAAGGCATCCACAATCACCAGAATGTGATTATATTTCTTCCGGGTGGCCTCTAAAGGACCCACATGATCTAAATGATATGTTAATAACGGACGATCCTCTTTGTCAATAGGCTTAAGTGAGGAATGAAATATTCTTTTTCCACAGTCTCTTGGGTTTTCTTGGCAGCGAAATGCCCTTGCCTATGCGCTAATCGAATAATTTCGTCTTCCATTTGACTTGGGATTACAATTAGCTGTAAATTGCAATTTTTTATAGAATACCACCTCGCACGTAGTAGTCTTCATAATCGCCACTCTCTAGTACTTTCTTAACTGCTTTCGTCCACCAATCATTATTTTGGGCTTCTTTCAACCTGTGGTTAAATGTGTCTTCGATTAACAAACAATGAATTCTGCTTAAAGCGTCAACGTGCTTCATTTTGCTCGAAGTTTTAGACTTTTTCTTTTCTGGTTCTCCATCACTTGACTTTTTCTTATCCTTGCCGCTATCACTTGAATTATCATCTTCGGATATATATTCATTACTTTTAAAACTGCCAGAGACATTAGCTGCTTTTTTCGTAGAAGTCTCCTTTTTACGTTTGTTCTTTGTACCTTTGTCACCTTCATCATCACTACCATCTTTCGGCTTATAATCTTTCATTTCATCGAGATAACGTTGCTTATCCTTTGCAGCTTTTTCTTCCCATTTTGATTTATCTTTAAGTTCTTTCCACATTTCGCCACCTTTTTTAGCAATTTCAGTTACCTTTTGAATTTCTTCCGTCGACTCGGTACAAGATTTTACAACTTCCGATATATTTAAGAAGGTTGGCCCCTTTTTTGAAAGATGAATATTAACAAAATCAAGAATATCATTGCCTATAACAACGGAATAATTAACATTGTCAGCCCTAGTGATATGAAAAGTATTTGTCAACTTAAAGTTATCTGCAGCAATTTCTGCTAACACACTGCCTACACACTCCATGTAACATTTTAGTTTCAGGTCTTAACTCTGAAATACCGACTTTGAGTAAGATGTCCTCACGCAACAGACATACGTCGCTACCGTTATCAATGAGTGCTACCATTGGTACCCCATTAATTTGAACAACTTTACACTTTTTATGATTCATGTGGTGCTCTACATCTTCTTCAATACTATTTATATTTTGAAATCTAGACTTTGTTGCTACTTCTTTTTTTTCAACTTTAACTACACATTCGAATGAGCGGTGACCTGTGCCACCACATTTAAAGCATTTGATATCTTTACTAAAACATTCTTTTGCTAAATGGCTACTATCGCCGCATTTATAACATTTGCGGATGTCTGTCTTGACCCTCTTATACTCCTCAAGACCTTTCTTTACCTTTTCCGAATCAACGTTACAACGGAGAGGTCCTCGTAT